CACCCCCCCCCCCCCCCCATTACAGCCCTGGTAAGACCCTGCAAAACCCCTCAACACCATCACTCGCCCCTTTCAACGGCCCTTGTGACTCCGTACTCTTTTCACCACCCTAAACCCGAAACCCTAAACCACCGAGCCCAGTCCGCCGACCCTGGCTTCGGAAAGGCTATGCCTCGTCCATCCTGCCGGCATCCTTGAAGCCAAAAAGGCTCGGTTCAGGGCGCATAGGAGTTTGGGGCTTACAGTAAGGGGTTTAGGGTCTTAGAAGTATAGGGGTTTGGGGCTTAAAGCAAGGGGTTTAGGGTCGGGTCTTAGAAGGGCTTGGTTCAATTCCCTTGATAAGACTGGTCATGTTCATTTAAGCATGTGTGACAGGGCGGGCTTCTTCAGGGGTTTACAGTGTTCAGGGTTCCTCCGTTTTCTGGTGTAAGGGTACATTGCGAAGGTTCAAACGGGGGCTTTTCTAGCGATTTAGGGCTGCTTGGCTTTGGGTGGATGCTTAGTGGTTTCGACTTCTAGGCTCCAGGGAAAAGACTTTGGGGTCTACGGTGCGACTAGTCGCTACAAGCATGTCGCCAAACCATAAAAAATGTCTTTGACATTGGCAGCAAAAAAAGGTGCTAAACTGCTAAACCTGCCAAGAGTCGCGAATTCACTCGGCCCGAAGAGCGCGCAAGTGAAGTCTGCCTGCACGGCCAGCAGCCACGCGGTGTCTTGGAGCTTCTCTTGGGTCAGCCAAAACGAGCTTGCAAGAAACAGCAAGAAGCCTTTACCATCTGTCCATGCTGCAGATTGGCTGGCATGCTCTCCATGGCAAAGCCTTCAGGTCGGGTCTGCCACAAGTCACAAACTCCCCCCCCCCTCTCAGCGTTGCAGCGCGGATCTTGAGAGTCTGTGCTGAGGGGCCATTGCACAGCGATCTCCAGCCTCGGTTTTGAAACTCTCAACGACCTTCGAAAGCACACATATTGAGCAGAGGCTGCAGAACCATGCCAGGCCACTTGTGGCATTCAGGCATGCATCGCGGCATCTTCTCCAATCAGCATCGGGAGTGCCAGGAGTGTGCGGCCTGGCATACGAACAAGAATAAGAATGACAATAGTGATAATTGTGCAAAGAATGGCATGGCAGGAAGCCTGACGAAAACCTTCCTGATGGCGCTGTTCGGATAGTTGCTTGAGAGAGCCTGCGGGACAGGAGCCCGGTGGGTAGGAAAGGAAGTCTGCTTCACCGAAGGTGCGGCGAGGTTGTGGGGGCGGGGGGTGGAATCAGAGACATGCTGAGCTAATGAACCCTAAACCCTAAACCCTAAAAATTAAGCTAATAAACCCTAAACCCCGAACCCTAAAAATAAGCGGGTCATTCCTCCGGAGCTGCAACCTTCAGATCTGCAATCCCCACGGCCGTTGTGCAAGAGCCGGGAACGCAGAAGCTCGTCTTTAGGGTTTAGGGTTTGTATTTAAGTTACCATAATGGAGATCAGTAGTAAATAATATGGTTTCTGTAGTATTCTGGTAGCTTAAACTCAATCCCCTAACAAGAACCCAGTCTTGGTCGGATCTCACTGAGTCACTCAAGGCCGATACCCGCGAAGATGTCAGCTGACGACCGTTGGAGATCCATGCTTTTAGGGGGGGGTATGTGGTGATTATGCTACGGATGGTGAAGATGAAGATTAACCCTCACCATCTTCATCTGATTCATCAGCACCGCCATATCACCGCAGCGATATGACGCATCAATGGCACTGGTCATATCCGCAAGAAGAAGCTCTGATGGGTTCGGGCCCTGAAGTTCCAATTAGACCCGTGCCAGCCGACCCTGAATACTGAGACCCGCACAAAACAGCCAAAACTTACAATAGTTGTAATACCACGAACTATACTTATCATGGATATGCTTTAATGAAATGATTTCGGAAATCACCGAAGAAGCGGAAACAGGTCGGTCACTCAGCTTGGGCGGCTTTCTGCTTCGGGGTGTCTGGGCTTGGCGATGGGGTTGGGAGTTTGGGTAGTTTTGGGCTTGGGTTCTGTGGCCTCGGGGCTGAGGGTTTTCGGGTGCAGAGCGTAAGCCAGAACCTCCTCACCTGCTGTCGCAGATGCTTCAGCAACAGCGTCTTTGAGTCTGTGACCACGTCACTCAAGCAACATGACCCACAAGGAATCCTGATTCAATCCCGCGTCTTCATGACCCATGTTCAGTTGAAACGGTCGACGGATGGCCGAAGAGAACGACAGCTGACTAGCTTGCCATGTGAACCGCATCCAATCTTGGCTAGCTGGCCCATCTCATGGCCTCGCCGCATTGCACTTGGCGAAACACTTTGTCTGATTCCTGGTCGGGAGACTGGAGCTTCCGACCCAAAGCACGATTGCTAGTTCATATCTGTCTGACAAGAACTGCATGCCATGTAAACTGCAATCGCCACAGCCACATCAATCGTGCCCCCACCCCTCCACAAGTGCTGTCCGGCACGTCCACCGCAGGACAGGCGGCGTAGAGGATGCAGTTATATCTTTGACCGCTATCCTCGATAATGTCGCCTTAGCTCGGGTGTGCAAACAGCTGTTGCGCCGCGGAGATGTCAATGAGATCATATGAAATCAAGCTTCTCTCTCCATAGAAGGCGTAGTTGCAGCCGGTTTCCGCCTGCAACCGAATCGCTATACATACATATACATCTGTCTATCTGTCTATCTGTCTATCTGTCTATCTATCTATCTATCTATCTATCTATACATATATAGATATAGATATAGATATAGATATAGATATAGATATAGATATAGATATGGATATAGATATAGATACAGATATATAGAGGGAGATATACAGAAAAATAGATATACAGATATATAGGTACATAGAAGCAACAGAGGGGCTTTAAACGGTCGGTCCGACCTCGCAGAGCAGCTCGCAGGCGCGGAGGCTCTCCGCGGTGCTTTGTAGAAGAGGCTCCCCATGGCAGCCCTCACCGAAGCCTTCCAGGTCGGTGCCTGCATCTGGGCTCCCAGTTTGGGGTTTTAGGATTTTAGGGTATTCGGGTCCAGGGTTTAGGGTTCAGGGCTTTAGGGTTTTAGGGTTTAGGGTTCAGGGCTCCCAGGGACCCAGGGATGTTGAGGGTTTTTTGGGGTTTCTGGTGCTCTCAAATACTGTTAGGCCGCTAGAAGGCTACTATAAGGGCTCTTCAATCTATAAGGTTACCACATGGGTACTTTCCATGGCACTGGCATAGTGTCGGGATTGGTCCCTAATTGACTAGGCGCCTCGTTAATGTAACAAGTGCAAGGTTGTAGCCCCAACAGTCGCACCTTAATGTAGACTTACCAATATTCCTAAGTGGACACTCAGCCTTCCGAAAGAAAAGAATATGCCTAAGTAGCTCCGCATGCACCCACCAAAACCCTCGTGTAAACCCTGCTTATCCATGTTATGGCTACCCTAAACCCTAAACCCTAAAGCCTAAACCCGCTACTGCATGCAGTCTGCACGCCTCCCACGTCCCGCCAGACTCGGTGGCCGCCGTTGGAAAGCAGGACCTGGCCAATCAACAGCCGGAACCCCCAAAACAAGGGGTTTTAGGGGTTTTAGGGTTTAGGGGTTTTAGGGGTTTTAGGTGCTTTAGGGTATAGGCTTTAGGGTTTAAAGGCGTTCCTTGCGTAGGGCATCATAAGGGTTGGGCGGTATCGGGCTGCCTCTCATTCAAAAACAGCTCGTGCTGCACCCAGACGTGCTGCCAAGCCACCGGCAAGCTATCGTAGAGGCACAGGGCTCGCTCCTTCGTGTCTAGTTCGCTGCCAATGAAGCTGCAAAGCACACCCTAAATCCTATAAATCCTAAACCCTATAAACCCTATAAACCCCTAAACCCTAAACATGACCACAGGACACCCTTGCAGCTGTTGCAGCCTTGAGGCGAAGCGCAGGTCAAGCCACCGGTTTGGGGGCCACCAGCCATTGGTCTCCGGCGACCAGGTCTCTGCCAAGCATACCTGCTGCAGCTCTTCACCTTGGTCTTTGCTTTCTCACCGTTTCACTCCATTCCGACTCGAGATGGGGCTGACTGATTCCGTGGGTCCAAGCAGGAAGCGACATTCCACTAGGGCAGATAACTTCAAACCCAGGACCTGCAGCAAGCACAACCGCTTCTCTTGGTGCTGGCGGAAACGTTCGCAGCACACCTAGTCGTGATGGTAATGGTATTCTTGTTGTGGTAAAGGTCATAGGAATAGTACTTGTACTGAAATGTCAAACCGCAGGCTTTTGGCATGTTAGGTCATGTCACGCAATGCAACACGACTGGAATGGAAGTCAATGCAACGCATGCATACAGTCAATATGCATGACTGCATACATACACATACATGTGCATATACATACCTCTCTCTCTCTATGTGCATATATATATATATCTGTATATGTATGTATAATATATATATATATATATTAGTATTTGTATTTAAATTTGAGCCCGATACCTTAAGGGTCTATTTAAGCAGCTTTTGATATATGCAATATCAAATGCGTAGCAAAATAGTAGATGCTAAGTGGCACATTGCACAAACCGAAATCAACAAAACTTGGACCGACAATGATATATTGTTTAATCTCGAACTTCCATGTCTTTCAGAAGCTTGGCCTGGTGGACGGCATCCATACTTGAAGTGTCAAATATCTTATATCATATCCCGTTCGTTGCCGTTCATGTAACTGGGAATGGATTGCTAGCAACAACAAGCATTGATCGCATCGCAAGCAAGCGGGCGGGTACAGTATGTAATCTAACAGATTAATAATGGGCATCATGTTCATACATAGTATTCTTGGATGCTGCTGTTGATGTTGTGTTCATACGTGAAATGTTACTTTGTTTATTGAGTATTGTCTAGCATCGCTTGTTGTATGTGTGGTTTGCAATACTTGTACTTGAAGCCGTATTTATTCTACATGTCTGTATCTGTTGGTCTTTGCCGTTCCTTTGAGTTGGTCTTTGTCGTTCCTTTGGTGTGAGTACACTGAGTAGGCTTCCAATCTTCCAACTGCAACACCAACTCCAAGCCCCCAGCCCGTTTACAAGCACTGTGACCAGCAACAGCGGCAAACGACAGCAGTTTCAGCAACATCAACAATATCGGGAACAACAACAAACCCCGCAATCAGTACAGTTAGCATTAATCATCCTCACAGTGTTCGTAATCATACTGAATACAATCATGGGCATATATAGATGAAAACATCAGGGAGCAATATGAACAACCGTAGACATGAACAAGCAGTGCCCGTCAGCATCACAACAAAAACTATATGGGCATGAATGCTGGTCATAATGTATCACTAGTCAGCAGTAGCAGTTATACTGCCCCCACTTGCTTTCCTTGGCGCATGTACGTTTCCAGCCTTTTCAGCCCTAACACCAACTCTAAGTCCTAGGCCTAGGCCCCTTTGTAAGCACGCGGGTCAAGAACACCAACACCAACACAAACAACAACGACAACAACAACAACAACAAGAAGAACAAGAACAACAACAGGAAGGACCACAACAGAATCCATCACAACCACAGAGTCATAGGCTGGAGGTAATGAAGATGTTTATGATGACAATGAAAGTAGACAAATTGAATATTGGAGCTTCTGGGGTATATATATATATATACACAAACACATACATACATGTGTGTCTACCTGTGTGTGGTTCTGTCTGTGTGAGTGCTTTTTACTAACTTATCAACTTACGTACTTATTCATTACGCATTTTATATCATTTTATGCAGATAAGGGGGCACAGGCTTACTGCTGCAGATACCTAGGTGGACGGATGTGGACGGCATGTCACTGAGATGTCGCTGAGGGTGGCACAGTCCTCCTGGAAAAGTGGCTCCACTTCCGGCTCCCGGATGAGGTCCTCAATTGCTCTTAGCTCTTGCGCCTTCGCACTTGTGCCACCTGTTTGCGAAAAAGGCACCACGTAGACGAAGCCATCCCTGAAGTGGCACGAGGGTGCTTCGTGACTCTGTCAGGGGCTCCCGGAGCACGTGCTAGGCGCAGTAAGGTCTGCACGGGCCGCTGTGGCACGCGGTCTCCACCTGCCAGCAGCTCTTGCAAGGTGGCTGTTATGTTGAGATGGTGTCTGTGACAGTGACAGGCTGAGGGGACCTTAAGTAAATCCAACATGTTGCAGCACTTGCGCTGCATGACATTCCCGTGCACTTACGCCCTCCATGGAACTCGAAAACGCGCACTTGGCCAGGAATCCCTGAAAGCTTGAGGCGCCTCCATAATGTTTTCAGAAGCAAGCAGTCTGCGACGAGCGTGCAACAGATTGTCACATTCGCAAACCCTGAACCGCCCCGAACCCTAAACCCCTGCCTGCTCAAAGTCGATGGGCAAGTGCTTTGCCAGAAGTGCGTTCACTTCGGTCAAACTGCCAACCCTCGGAAGTAGGACGCCGAGCTACGCGGAGCCGAAGGCTCTTCGCACGTGTTTTGTGGAATACTCGGCTTGTTGTTTGTGTGTCTTTTTGTATGGTCTTACCAGGTTTCTACGAGCAGCAATCTCAACGATCGGAAGCGAGGTTCGCCTTGGAGGGCTTTGCCGTTGGGGGCGCAGGGTTTGGGTCGGGCTTGGACTTTGATGCAGCTTTGGCACTTCCTCAGTTCCATGCCCTTCGGTATGACGGAGTCTCCGCCACGGAAGAAGCCTTTCCAGAAAAGCTTCGTGCCCCATGCATGTATGTATGCATAAGGAGAGCGAGAGAGACGGGGGACATACAAGACATGCATTCACGCATGCATGCATGCACGCACACCCCTACGAAAGTATATCTTGCGTATACTATGGCCCGCAGGCATTGCTTTGTCTTGCGCCAAAGCAGCGGGGAGATGACACCGTCGGAATAATCCCGCTGTCCTGCGTGACGTACTTCACGTCCTGTGAAGGGTTTTCGAATTCAGGGGCTGCTTTTGAAGTGGAAGACTTTGCTTGGCTGTTTAGGGCGTCGGGGTCGGGTTTAGGGCATCCGGACTCCTGGGTTTCGGGCAGGGTAGGGCGCCTCAGGGTTTTGGGGGCTGAAGATTTGAGGGCTGTCAGGAGACTCCAGGTTTCTCCAGGCCTTGGACTTGGCAACGGAGGCGTAGAGCGGCACTTCCCTGAATCAGAGTAGGCTGCAGTTGCACTCAGCTGTCACGTCTCGGCTTGTGGCATGACAGAATCGAAAAACGTGCACGGTACCGGACAGCCCCCATACATACATCATGACTACTTACGTGCTTGCATCTATGCACGCATGCGTGCATGCGTACACCCATACCTACATACACACATACGATAAATGAATACATATGTAGACAGAGAGAAAGAAAGGGAGAGAGAGAGAGAGAGAAGATATGCGGTGTACATGTGTATATACAAAATATGTATGTGTCCCAGGACAGGCAAGCTTCTTCAGCAGGTTGAACAGCGTAGGAAGCTGCTCACACCTTGCCGGCAACTTAGCTTCGGGCACTCTTCAGGAAACCCTTCCCTGATCTGCTTCCCATGCTTACTGTTGAGAATATGAAGGACAGGGTCTCTGAATAATAATCATAATCATAGTAACAATAATAGTAGTAGCAGTAATAATAGTCATCATCATCATAATAATGATAATAACAAGCATAGTCTAGAATCACTGCAACAAACTGCCGAGGCACTCCACGGCTGCAGATGCTTGCTGGTATTCTGCCTGATCCGGGCCTGATTGCAACAACCCAACAATCGGTAAGAAGGGTTTAGGGTTTAGGGTACGAAGTACGGAGCTTGAAAAGGAAGTGTCTGGGCCCGACTGCAACAGCAACAGCCGGTTCAAAGCGCACAGCTTGAACCGGCATAGTTGTCTTCAAATGCTCAGGCCGCAGCTGCAGTAGTCCGAATGCCTCCAGTACTTCCATGCCGCACAGTCACAGGAGAGCTTGTGAGATTTCGCTGTGCCACTCAGAATCACAGAGAATGCATATAGTAACCCTTATAGTAACCCTTATAGCCACTCTTATGGTAGCCCCACATATGACGTTGGGTAAGCATCGGTGGTCCGAACAGAATCAGAGCTGCACCCACACGAGACCAAGGGATCTTTGCACCGTCGGCCCAAGGGTTCCCCTGTCTTCAATTATAATAATAAATAAATAAAAATAAAAATTATTCATACTAATAACAATAACAACAATAACAACAATAATAATAGCAATAATAGTAATAATAGTAATAGTAATAATAATAGTTTCAATGCCTCCAGTAGTAGTCGCAAAACCGCTGGCCATCGACACCTGGAAGGCTGTGTGTGGCGTGGCTTTGACGCGTGAAAGATCTTGAACTGAATTACCTGCCACTCGTCTCTATATTACCATATATTGCCTACTGCTTGAGTGTGTTACCAGCGGTGTTGCTGACTAGTCCGGTATAATTATAGACGTCCTTATCACTTCTGTTTGTCATTTTGCTGGTCATTTCAATCGATTGGTCCTCGTAGCCTGCATCAGTCAATGTCAACGCAATCAAGATGGGCTTTATTTCGTGTTGCCCTTTGCAACAGTCAGTATGCAGTCGCGAGCCGATGCGCCAGACTTCTAGGATTCTTCAGCCAAGGCTTTGCGAAACAATTTCATCAGCGAGCTCAACTCTCTACCCTGACCCACTGCTTCATCCAGAACTCTCAATGCATGTTCTTGGTGTGCTGGAGGGGTTGTGGCAATCATCGACCTTGCCTTCTGGAGCGTGTTCACAAATCCCCATTGTCTCTCCGAGAGCCGGCGTCCCAGGATTGCGCATACGAGCTCTTCCACGAACAAAGATGAAGGCTCCACCCCGCAAGCAGTCATTTCGTCGACATACGGTAAGATCTCATCCAGAGGTCGACCGGCATGAGAGGCGATCACCAGCGAATAAGTAACCACAGTCGCGTTCAAGCCTCGAGCAGTCAGCT